TGGGTTTTTGGTTTTTTTTTTTTCCATATGAAGTTGAATATTGTTCTTTTAAGGTCTGTGAAGAATTGTGTTGGAATTTTTATGGGGATTGCATTGAATCTGTAGATTGCTTTTGGTAAGATGGCCATTTTGACTATGTTAATCCTACCAATACACAAGCATGGGAGATCTTTTCCATATTCTGATATCTTCTCCAGTTTCTCTCTTCAAAGACTTTAAGTTCTTGTTATACAGGTCTTTCACTTGTTTGGTTAGAGTTATCCCAAGATACTTTATATTATTTGTGGCTACTTGAAGGGTGATGTGTCCCTGATTTCTTTCTCAACTGGTTTATCATTTGTATATAGAAGGGCTACTGATTTTTTTAATTAATCTTGTATTCATCCACTTCACCAAAGGTGTTCATCAGCTGTAAGAGTTCCCTGGTAGAATTTTGAGGGTCACTTATGTATACTATCATATTATCTGTGAATAATGATACTTGGACTTCTCTCTTTCCAATTTGTATCCCTTTGATCTTCTTTTGTTGTCTTATTGCTGTAGCTAGAACTTGTAGTACTCTATTGAATAGATATGGGGAGAGAGGATAGCCTTGTCTTGTTCCTGATTTTAGTAGAATTGCTTTGAGTTTCTCTCCACTTAATTTGATGCTTGCAATAGGCTTGCTCTATATTGCTTTTATTACATTTAAGTATGCTCCTTGTACCCCTGATCTCTCCAAGACTTTTATCATGAAGGGGTGTTGAATTATTTCAAAGACTTTTTTAGCATCAAATGAGGTGCTCACATGTGTTTTTTTTCTTTCAGTTTGTTTATATAGTGGAGTGGATTACATTAATAGATTTTCATATGTTGAACCATCCCTGCATTTCTGGAATGAAGCCCACTTGATCATGGTGGATGATCTTTTTGGTGTGTTCTTGGATTCAGTTTGTGAGTATTTTATTAAGTATTTTTGCATCAATGTTGATGACGGAAGTTGGTCTGTAATTCTCTTTCTTTGTTGAGTCTTTGTGTGGCTTGGGTACTATGGTGACTGAAGACTCATAAAAAGAATTTGGCAATGTTCCTTCTATTTCTATTGTGTGGAACAATTTTGAAGAGTACTGGTATTAGCTCTTCTTTGAATGTCTGGTAGAGTTCTGCACTGAAACTTTCTGTCCCTGGACTTTTGTTGGTTGGGAGACTTTCACTGACTTCTTCTATTTCCTTAGCGGTTATTGGTCTATTTAAATTGTTTATCTCATCTTGATTTAATTTTGGTATGTGGTTCCTACCAAGAAATCTGTCCATTTCATTTAGATTTTCTAATTTTGTGGAGTACAGGTTTTTGAAATATGATCTAATGATTCTCTGGATTTCCTCAGTGTTATGTCCCCCTTTCCATTTCTGATTTTTTTCAATTGGATATTGTCTCTCTGCCTTTTAGTTAGTTTGGGTAAGGGTTTGTCTATCTTGTTGATTTTCTCAAAGAAACAACTCTTTGTTTCATTGATTCTTTGTACTGCTCTTTTTGTTTCTATTTTATTGATTTCAGCCCACCATTTGATTATTTTCTAGCATCTACTTCTTTTGGGGATGTTTAGTTTTTATTGTAGAGCTTTCAGGTGTGTTGTCAAGTTGATAGTGTGAGATTTCTCCAAATTGTTTATGTAGGCACTTAGTGCTATTAACTTTCCTCTTAGCACTGCTTTCATAGTGTCCTATAAGTTTGGGTATGTTGTCCATTCATTTTCATTGAATTCTAGGAAGTCTTTAATTTTTTCTTTATTTCTTCATTGACCCATTAGTAATTCAGTTGAGAATTGTTCATTTTCCATGCTTTTGTAGACTTTCTGTAGTTTCTTTTGTTGTTTAATTCCAACTTTAACCAATGGTGATCTGTTAAGATACAGGGATTATTCCAGTCATTTTGTATCTGTTGAGATTTGTTTTGTGACTGAGTATGTGGTCACAACCTTTAGAGAAGGTTCCATGAGGTACTGAGAAGAAGGTATATTCTTTTGTGTTTGGGTGAAATGTTCTGTAGATGTCTGTTAGGTCCATTTGAGTCATAACGTCTGTTAGCTCCCTTATTTCTCTGTTTAATTTCTGTCTGGAAGACCTATCCATTGGTGAGAGTGGGGTGTTGTAGCTTCCCACCATAAATGTGTGTGGTTCAATGTGTGATTTAAACTTTAATAATGTTTATTTTACAAATGTGGGTACCCTTATATTTGGGGCATAGATGTTCATAATTGAGATTTCATCTTGATTGGATTTTTCCTTTGATGAATATGAATGTGTTGTGTCTGCATATGTGTTTGAGTGTGCACATGTCTATTTTAGTATGGGAGTCTGATAGTATGTAAAAATGTACAAGAGTTTGTCAGTGTTTCAATTCATGCATGTGTGAGTATTTGAGTGTATGACTATGTGCATGAATATTTGTGTGGGTTAGTTTTAGTGTTTGATTATAAGCAAGTGTTTGTTTCTTTGACTGAGAGTGTGAGTGCATGCATGTATGAATGTATGTTGTGTGACTGTGCATGTAGGATTTTGTAAGGGTGTTCAAGAGTTTGTGAATTTGTGAGAATTTGAGATTAGGTGAGCATGTTTGAAAGGCATGTATGTGAACATGTGTGTGTGTTAGTGTCAGTATGAGTGAAAAAAAGAGCAAGTGAGTATGCAAGATTATGCCAAGAGGGTGAGTATGTATGAATGTATTGTGAGTGTGTATGTAAGTGTATGAGTGTAGAAAGGTACACTGAGTCAGAAAAGTGCAAGGGTGCGTGTTTATGTCAGTGTGCAAATGTTTATAAATGTGTGGATATGTGAGCGTGTAAGAGTATGTTAGAGTGTGAAAGAATGTGAGAACATATGACTGTGAGTGGTTTTAACTGAGTGTGGATGTATGAAAATGTGTGTGATCATATTTGATTGCATGCAAGGTGTGAAAGTCTGTGATCGTAAAAGTGTGTATAATTGACCACCAATATTTGTGATTGTATTTGCATGACCGTGTGGGTTTTCAACTATGTGTAAGCATATGACCCTGTGTGTCAGTGTGAGAAATGCTATGTGACGCAATGCTATGCAAGTGTTGGAAAGTGAGTGTATGAATGTAAATATGTGATTCTGTGTGAAAGAGTATGTGCAAGACTTTCCAATATGCATGCATGCATAAGAGTTTGTGTGTGTGAAGATTGTGCATGTGTGTTTGACTGAAAGAATGTATAAACATGCACAGGAGTGAGTATGGGAGACATTGGGTATAAGAGTTTGTGTCTGGATATTTTTGAGTGTTTGAGTGTATCTATGAGTGAGGGGTAGGGCTCCCATTAGGAATAGGGATAGGGTAGTGCTGGGTAGGATTTATAGTTAGGTGTATGTTTAGAAAAAGCTTTATGTTTAACTTTAGAGTTATGGTTAGGATTAGGAATACAGATGTTGTTATGGTTAGATAAAAGATTAGGGTAATTCTGAGAGTCATTGTAGCACTAGGGTTAGGGTAAGAGTAAAGGTCAGACTTAGGTCTAGCCTTCTTTTAAGGTTAAGGCTAGGCTTAGTAATATTGTTAGGCCTGGGTGAGGGTTAGGTTAAATGTTAAGATTTTGAAAAGTGTTCAGGTTAGAGTTAGGGATAGTTATGGTGAGGATTGTGATTTGTGTGTGTGTGTGTGTGTGTGTGTGTGTGTGTGTGTGTGTGTGTGTGTGTGTGTGTGAGAGAGAGAGAGAGAGAGAGAGAGAGAGAGAGAGAGAGAGAAACAGACAGACAGAGTGACAGAGAGAGACAAAGAGAAAGAGGGAGGAGGAGGGAGGGAGAAAGGAAGGGAGGGGAAGAGAGAGACTGATTGATTGATTGATTGTGGGTCAAGTATGTGATTCTTTGTTACTATGCATGTCTTTGGTGTGTGTGTATATGTGTGGTCAGGTTTAGGGTTAGTTTTAAGAATCAGGTTAGAGAAAGTGTCCAAAAGGGTTAGAGTTTAGATTACTGCTACAATTCAGTTTATGGTTAGGTTTAGGGTTAAGGTTAAATTTAAGAATATGTTTAGAGTTAGGATCAGGGTTGGGGCTAGGATTAAGGTTAGGGTTAATGCTATGAAATAGTTTTAATGTTTAGAGTTAGGAATAGGATTACGGTTAGTTTAGGGTTAGAGTCTAGTGTTAAGGTTTGGATTCAGTTTAGGATTAGTTTTAGGATTAGAGATAGGGCTGTGATATTTTAATGGTCAGGGATAGATTTAGGGTTAGTGTTCTTATAAGCATTAACATTAGGGTTAGATGTTGGGTTGTAGTCAGGATTAGATTTGGGATTAAGGTTAGGATTAGGGCTAAAATATTGTTATGGTTAGGATAGATTTTTGGATTGTGGTTATTATTTAGCATTAGCATGAGGTTTGGACACTGGGATATTGTAGAGTTATAAGTAGGCTCATTTTAAGATTAGGATTAAAGTTTTGGATAGAGAAAATGTGAGATTTAGGGTTATCATTAGGATTAGCAGTTCGTGTTAGGCTTAATATTTTAATATGGCTAGAGATTGGGTTAGTATTATGTTCATGTTATAGTTAGGGTTAATACTAGGTCTAACTATAATGCTTGAGGTAAGTACAAGTTCGTGTAACAGATAGGGGTAGGGTTAATATTAATTTTTGCTAGTATTATGGTTAGAATTAGCTATGCTGTTAAGGTTATGATTAGCTGTCGGGATAGGAATAAGGTTAGTTTTAGGAATAGGAATGGGCTGATGGTTAGGTTTAGGATTAGAATTAGCTTTAAGACTAGACTAGTATTAGAGTTATATCTAGGGTTGGCATTAGGGATATATTCAAGTTCATGTATAAGGTTATACTTACTGTTACTAACATGGTTATGGTTAGGGAAGTGCTTGTTAATATTCATCTGTAAAATTTAATTTAAAATTTTCTTCTTTGCAATTTATAATTTTGGGTCAAATATATGATACAAGCATTGTAGTGAATTTCTATTTGAGTCCTCTTTTTTTTTTCTTTTTAGTGCTGAAAGTATATTCTGTACTTAGGTCTTCACCCATGTTAGGTAAGTCCTCTATCACTGAACTAACTATACCGAGATCCTGTGATTGTTGATGAGTGCGAGTGCTGTGATTGCAAAGCAGTAATTCTACTTTGTTTCAGCAGTAATTCTACTTTGTTTCAGTTTGTCACTGATACAAAGTAACATCCTAGAAGAGCAGCTGAAAGAGAGTATCTAGTGAGTACTGAGTTCCCAGAATAGTATTAGATGATTTCTTTTGCTATGGCATGCTTTTTCAAAACATCCTGTTTCACTGTCAAAAGATGTGTTTTTTTTTATATGGATGAAGTATATGGTAACCACTTAACCAGGAAGCACTATAATTACATGGCCACCATTGTAAGCTATAGCCTGAATTGCTGCTTGCAGAACTGTAACCTCAAACAATGTTATAAAATTTAGGTTGACTGAACAGAGGTTAGATTTGATTCACATCGGCAAAATTACAGTAGACCTAAACAAGAACATTGAACTTTTAACTACTTTTGAACAATGTAGCTGTCACACTTTATGTAAACTAACATTGCTTTCATAACATGTTCTCCATCCTGAAGTATTCTCCTCAGAAATTCAATGATCAGAATAATAATTCTGTGATTTAGTAGAATCAGAGTGATGGATACTAGCTGGAGAAGTTGCCAGAATTTGCAAGGTGTGTTTTAATATGTAGTACCCACAGAAAATATCTCTTTATCCTATTAAGAGTATTCTTCTGTAACCATGAAAATGACCTTGGTGCTCTTTCTGAAGAGATATGTGCAGTAACTAAGGATGTAGAATAGGGATATATGGTTCCAACCAATCCTCTATTAGCTATTAATTGATTCTTGGTTCCTTCTCTCATTAGTGAAGGCTGTGAGGACCCATATTGGTGACAAATATCCTCTAATGCCTGAGGCTTAGCAAGAACAACCTTCTGTATACTTTCTTTTGTTTTTGTGACATTGGAACACAACAAAAGTATCACCGACCTAGGTATTACCCACCACCATGCCACCATTCCAATTCCCAGTAGATAAAAGACACAATGGCCAACAGATGATTCAAATCAGCTTTACTAAGTGATGGATCAATGCAGCTGAAGTCTGAGGCTAAGTGGTGTTTCTTTCTTCCTCTCTGAAGTGATGACAGCTGAGCCCTTTTGGCTGGCTCACAAATTTATCCACCCAGTCAGAGAGAGGTTGGAATGTGGAGAACCGATATTGGATGGGTCCACCATGTGCAGGTCCTGCTGAGTCTGTTTATGGCATAGAGACTGGAAGTCCAAAAGCAGGTCCAAGACAGACAGGAAAAGAGAGAGAAGTAGGAGGATAAGTAAGTAGGGACCTTCAGGACATTATCTCCCTCAAGTAGAGAAAGTCAGCCCAAAGATGCTCAAGTCCCATGAACCACAACCATGTCTGAAGTCACCCCATAAGCAAAAGCATCTCACTAGTACTTGCTCTTTAGGGAATGTTGTGAGAGTGTCTTCTTCTATTTGACTCAGCAGAAAACATAGGATAAAAAGGAAAAGTAGATGTGAACTTGGGTCAGAAACTCAGAGTACTGCACCATAAATAAGTGGCAAAGTGCTATATTCTTGAAGCCCTTAGGCTCAACAAACACTTATTCAGCCTGCCTCCAAGAAAATATACCCCATCTATCCAATTTCCCCATATCTAACCCTATCTTTGAAACACTAGACAGAGCATACACATTTTATTACAAATGTCCCACTGTAATAAGAAATTTCAGATTTATTAATGTTTGATTCAAGGCTTAGAGCTGATTATCAAAACTATTTCCTCTCCATTTAGGAACAGAAGAAAAATATTTCCCTTTCCTCATCTGGCGACATTATTGAGTGATGCTCAGTGTAATTTAAAAAAGAAAAGGCATGCATTGTTTCTAAGCCCTTGGCTATGTATGAATCTCTAAATATCAATGGGTGTTAATACCTTAATACCTTCACGGACACTGAAAAGAGCACCCATAAGAGCTGCCAGAACCAGGACTGTAAGTTCCTAAGTCATGCAGACTTTGAGTATTAAGCTCTGAACTCTTTTCTGTCCTGAACTCTGGACTCTGTCCTTCTCAGGACAGCTGAGTAAGAAAAAACATATTCAGGAAACAACCACAACAAGGGGCTGATCCTGCTTCACATATACAGTATTACTTCTTCAGCTGTGTGAAGAGTGGTGTTGAACTCATGCCAAAATTCATCTGAAGATTTGTTACAGGAATGGGACAGCAAAAGTACAATAATAAAATTCTTTCAAGTCTATGACAGATGGAGGAATTGCATGGCAAGCATATAAGAGTTAAGTCTGATGCACCTCTATGGAACATGGACTCCTTCTTTTAAATAGTGGTGATAGTTCCTAATTTCTAACACTTTGAAATCATCTTTCCTATTTTTTCAGCTTATTTTCTATGTCTCGTTTTTTATTAATTACTTTTTCATACAATATATGTTGATCGTATCTTTTTCTCTTCCTCCAACTTTTCCCAAATCTTGCTCATCTCCCTACCCACCAGCTATGTTCATTCATTCACTCATTCATTCATTATCTCTCTCTCTCTCTCTGTCTCTCAAAGGAAACAAAAACAAAAGTCACAACAAACAAGCAAACAAGACAAAGGAAAATCAAAAACCAAAATAAAACAAAAACTGTGAGTCCATTTTTTGTTGAATATCTACTCCTGGGGCCTTTTTTGGAGTATGGTTCATTTACTTAGTAACACTCCACTGTAGAAAACTGATTTTCCCTTTCCCAGCAGGTGTCTGTTAGGGGTGGAACTCTGTGTATACTTCTCAGTACTAAGATCTTGTTTGGTTTGAATCTATGCAGGTCTTGTGCATGCCTCCAAGTCTCTGAGTTTATGGGTGTATTGATCTTGTTGTGTTTTGAAGATGCTATTTTCTTGGATCACATACCTCCTCTGGTTCGTGTAGTCTAGGTAACCCCTCTTCTGAACATATCTCTGAGCCTTGAAGGGAGGGCCTTGACAATGACATCCCATTTAACTAAGTCTATGCTTCAATTACTCTCTGCACACTGTCCAGTTGTGGGTCTGTGGGTCTCTGAGTTATTTACCATCTATTACAAGAAGCAACTTCTCTGATGAAGGCTGAACAATGCATTGATCTAAGGGTATAGAACTATTCCATTGGGAGTCATTTCATTGCTATGTTCGTTTAGCAGAATAATAGTAGTAGGTTTTCTCTTAGGGTCTGCGACCTATCTAATTTCAGGATGTTGGTCACATAGCAGTGTTGAGTGAGCATGGGTTTCATTTCATGAAGCAGGCCTTAAATCCAAGAAGAAAGTGGCTGGTTTATTCCATAACATTTGGGCCACTATCCTACTAATATACTTTACAGGCAGATCGCTGTTGTAGGTTATGGGTTTGTAGCTGGGCACTATTGGTGATTAACTTTCTCTTCTAGTTGTGCACAGAGTACCTTCTTGCACTTTGAATGCTAGTCAGTAGAGGTGAAGCTTCTAGTTGGATACCAGCTCAATTTCTTTGTGTTCAATGACATAAGTAAGTGGATGTGGAAGGTAATAATTAGCTCTGGTAATAGCTTGTGGTGCTTTGTGGGGGTGTTTATGGGATCCTTTTGTCTAATGACTCTAAAAGATATAACCAATTCCCAGCACTGGGGGGTTTTACTTGGTGGCATAACATGTTTAGTTAGGGGTATTCTCTTGCTAATTATATGGTGATCCCATTTAAATTCATTTCATATATGCATATGTTTTAGGAAGCTTCTACAGTAGCAGGTTTCTGTATGGCTGCTCAAAAGGTCTCTAGTATTAGTTGTTAGCCCTTCCCATATTCTCTCTTTATCCTGCCATTTCATTCTCCTCCCCATTTAATGTTCCTTTTCTGGATTCCTCTTTATCTCTTTATAACACTATATGCTATTTTCCTTCCTTGGGACATCTTCTTCTCCCCAGCTGGTCTCTTACTAGCTACCTAACCTCTGTGGATATTTATATAAACATAAATATCTAAAGCTTGAAAGCTAAAAGAGAATAAAGTTAAAAAGAGAATACATGCATAATTTGTCTTTTTGGGTCTGGGTTACCTCATTAAGGATAGTATTTTCTATCTTCATCTATTTACCTGAAAATTTCATAATTTTGTTTTGCTTAACAGCTGAATAATTTTATGTTGTTTTAATGTACTGCATTTAAATTATCCACTCATCAGTTGATGGATATACAGGTTGTTTCAATTTTCTGGTTATTAGGAATAGACTGGCAATAAGTATGGATGAGTATGTATCTCTGTAGTATGAGGTAGAGTAGTTTGGGTACATGCTCAAGAGCAGTATAGCTGGATCTTGTGGGAGATCAATTTTTAGCTTTTTTGAAGAACCTTCACACTGAGGTCCATAGTAGCTGTACCAGTCTGAACTCTTACCAAAAATGAATGTGTTCTCCTTTCCCCACACTCTTATCAGCATGTGCTGTCAAATGTTTTATTGATGTTGTCCATTCTGAGTAGGGTCAGATGAAATCTCAAAGTAATTAAGTTGTATTTTTTTTCTGCTGGCTAAGACTGTTGAACATTTAGTCAAGTGCTTCTCAGCCATTTGTCTTTCATCTTTTGAGAACTCTCTGTTTAACTTTATACTTCATTTTTTACTAGGATATTTGTCTGCCTTCCTTCGTTCCTTCGTTCCTTCGTTCCTTCGTTCCTTCCTTCCTTTCCTTCTTTCTTTCTGGGACACAGTTTATCTGTGTAGTTCTGACTGTCCTGGAACTCACTCTGTAGACCAGGCTGGCCTCGAACTCGCAGAGATCTATCTGCCACTGCCTCCCGAGTGCTGGAATTAAAGGCATGTGCCACTGCTGCCTGGCTATATTTATTTATTTTTTTAAATATTCAGGTTTTTAAAAAAATATATTCTAGACACTAATCCTCTATCAGATGCATAATTGGTAAAGATATTTTTCCCCACTCAGTATGCTGGCATTTTTTGAACACACGATGGTATCCTTTGCTGCACAGAAGTTTGTGGATGTTGTTGGTTTTAGTTTCATGTGGTCCCATTTATTAACTGTTAGTCTTAGTGCTTATATTGTCATTGTTCTGCTCAGAAAATCCTTTCTTGTGTCAATGAATTCAAGCCTATCCTTTACTTTATCTATCAGATTCAGTGTATCTGGTCTTACATTGAGGTCCTTCATCCACCAGGAGTTGAGTTTTGTGTAAGAAGGTAGACATGAGTCTATTTTCATTCTTCGACATGCAGCCATCTACTTTGACCAGCGACTTGTGTTGGAAATGCTCTCTTTTTTCCAGTGTATATTTTTGGCTTCCTTGTCAAAAAAACAGGTGTCCATAGGTGTTTGGAATTATGTTTGTGTCTTTGATTAGGCTCCATTGTTCAATGTGTCTGTTTTGATGCCAATACTCTGCAATACAACTTGAAATTGTGATGGTGATAGCTCTAGGAGTTCTTTTATTTTTCTGGATATTTTTCGCTACCCTTGGCTTTTGTGTGTGTGTGTGTGTGTGTGTGTGTGTGTGTGTGTGTGTGTGTGTGTGTGTGTGTGTGTGTGTATGTGTGTGTGTGTGCGCGCGTGCGATTCAATATGAAGTGGAAGATTGATCTTTTCATTTCTGTGAAGAATTGTGTTGGGATTTTTTTTTACTGTTTTATTTTTAGATATTGTTTCCCTGATGTCTTTCTCAGTATGTTTGTCCTTTGTACATAGAAAGTCTACTTTTATGTGTTAATTTTGCATCCTACCACTTTTCTGAAAGTGTTAATCAGATGTAGGGGTTGACTGGTGAAGTCTTTAGGGCCTTTTAGGTTTAAAACCATGTATTTGGCAAAAAAGATACTTTGCCTCCTTCCATTCCTATTTGTATCCTCTTGATCTCCTTCAGCTGTGTTAGTGCTCTAGCCCAGACTTCAGGTACCATATTCAATAGGTGTGGAGACAGTGGACTTGTCTTCTTCCTGTGTTTAGTGGTAATGCTTTGAATTTCTCTCCATGTAAGATGATGTTAGCTGTAGGATTGCTGTAAATTACCTTTATTATGCTGTGATATGTCCCTTGTATGTCGAGTCTCCCAAGACTTCTATCACGAGGGGATATTGGATTGTATCAAAGGGCTTTTCTGTATCTAAAGAGATTTTTCAGTCTGTTTATATGATGGGTTACATTACTGATTTACATGTGTTGATTTATATGCATGCATCTTTGATGAAGCTAACTTGATCATGGTTGTATAATTTTTTATGTGTTCTGTAATTTAGTTTGCAAGTGTTTTATAGAGCATTTTTGCATCTGTATTGTGGTTGTTTGAATAAAAATATTCCCCATAGACTCATATATTTGAATGCTTGATCCTTAATTGATGGAACTTTTTGGGGAATTGCAAAGAGACACCACAACCATGGCAACTCTTACAAAAGAAAGCATTTACTTAGGAGCTTGTTTATAGTTTCAGGTTTATTCATTATCATCATGGTGGGAAGCATGATGGCATGCAGTCAGACATGGTGCTGGAGGAGTGGCTGAGAGTTCTGCATTCTGATCTATAGGCAGAGAGAAAGAGAGAGAGAGAGAGAGAGAGAGAGAGAGAGAGAGAGAGAGAGAGAGAGAGAGAGAGAGAGAGAGAGAGAGAGAGAGAGAGAGAAACAAGAACCGGGCCTAGCATAGGTTTTGGAAACCTCAAAGCCCATCACCAATGACATAATTCTTCAAACAAGGCCACACCTTCTAATCCTTTTAATCTTTTCTTATAGTTACACTCCCTAATTACCAAACATTCAAATATATGAGCCATTTTTTATTCAAAATACCATAGGAAGTCTTACGAGATATTGCCTTGTTTGAGGAGGTGTTTGGGGATGGCCTTTGAGGCTTCAAATATTCATGTCAGGTACAGTCTTTCTCTCTGTGTTTGTCTGTCTGTCTGTCTCCAACTTGTAGATAAAATATAAGCTCCCAGCTACTGCTCTAATACCATGCCTGTGTGTCTACTGACATATTCCCCACCATGGTAATGCTCACGGACTCACCCTCTGAAATAGTCATTAAGCCACCAAATTGATGCTTTCTTTTATAAGTTGCCTTGCTCATAGTGTATCTTCATAGCAATAGAAACATAACTAAGATATATCTTCATAGGAAATATTGTTCTATAATTTTCTTTTTTTGTTGAAACTTTGTGTCTTTGGTATCAATGATTAGAGTGGCTTCATAAAAAGAATTAGGAAAAGTTCCTTCAGTTCCTATTTTTTGGAATTATTTGAGGACCACTGCCATGTTTTTTTTTCTTCTCTTTTCTTAGGGGCCCACCACCCAGCTTCCAAATAAATCACACACAGAGGCTTATACTTAATTATGAATGACCCACCTTAGCTTGGCTTAGTTTCTCACCAGTTTTTCTTTAATTAACCCATCTATCTTTTGCCTCTGAGCTTTTCCTATTCTAACCTCTGTAAATCTTACTCTTACTCCATGGCTTGCTGTATAGCTGAGTGACTGGAGTCCTCCTCTTACTCTGGCTCCAAGATCCTCGCTCCTTCCTCCCAGTTTTCTCCTTCTATATATACTCTCTGCTTGCCAGCCCCTCCTATCCTTTCTCCTGCCTTGTTATTGGCCAGTTCTTTATTAAACCATGGGGTTGTTTCACACAGGAACAGTAACACAGCTTCCCAGAGTTAAATAAATACAACATAAACAAAAGTAACACATCTTAAAATAATATTTTACTACACTACCATTAGGTCTTTGAATGTATAGTATAGATTCTACACTGAATACATGACTGAACTTCTTCGGTTGGGAGATTTTTAATTACTGCTTCTATTTCCCTAGGGTTTTTCTGCTTATTTAAGTCACTTATTCCACCTTGACTTGACTTTTGTAGGTGATATAATTCAAGAAATTTAAAATATCATTGACCTTCTGAATTCCATTGGTGTCTGTTGTAATGTCTTACTTTTCACTTCTAGTTTTATTTATTTATTTATTTATTTATTTATTTATTTATTTATTTATTTATTTATTGGTTTTTTGAGACAGGGTTTCTCTGTGTAGCTTTGCGCCTTTCCTGGAACTCACTTGGTAGCCCAGACTGGCCTCGAACTCAGAGAGATCCACCTGGCTCTGCCTCCTGAGTGCTGGGATTAAAGGCGTGCACCACCACCGCCCGGCCACTTCTAGTTTTATTAATTTGGGTCTTTTCTCTCCATCTTTTGGTTAATTGGGCTAAGGGTTTGTTAATGTTGCTGATTTTTTTCAGTGAACCAACTATTTATTTCAATTTTTATATCATTTTTGTTTGCTTATTTGTTTCCATTTTACTGATTTCAGCCCTGAATTTGATTATTTCTTCCCATCTACTTTTTTTTTTTTTAGATATTCTTTCTCTTGTTTTTATAGAGATTTTAGGTATGTGTTTGAATTACTATTATGAGATCTCTCCAATACTATACTGTAGGGACTTAGTGTTAATAACTTGTCTCTTAGAACTGCCTTCTTTGTGTCTTATATGTTTGGGTATAATATATTTTCATTTCCACTCAATTCTAGGACATTTTTAATTTCCTTTTAGGTTTCTGTCTAGACATATTTTTCTTTCAGTTGAGTTGTTCAGTTTCCATATTTTCTGCTGTTTTTTGTTGTTGATAGTTAGTTTTTATCCATAGTAGCCAGATAGGATGCAGGGTGTTATCTCAATTTTCTTTCATTTGTTTAAACTTGCTTTGTATCCTAATATGCACTCAATTTTAGAAAAAGTTGCACGAGCTTCTGAGAAGCAGGAATTTTCTTTAGTTTTTGAGTGGAATGTTCTATAGATGTATGCTACATCCATTTGGTTTATGATGTTATTTAATTCCCACATTTCTCTGTTTATTTATCTATTTCTTCTGGATGAACTGTTGGTAACAGTGGGGTATTGAAGTTACCCACTATCACTGTGTAAGGGTCGATATGTGATTTTTAGCTACAGTAGTGCTTCTTTTATGAAAATCGGTGTCCTTTTGTTTGGTGCATAAATGTTTAGAATCGCAATATCCTCTTGGTGAATTTTTGCTTAAACGTAGTAACCTTCCCTATCTCTTTTTATTAGTTATAGTTTAAAGTCTATTTCGTCAGATATTACAATAGCTTCACCTGCTTATTCCTAGTTACATTTGCTTGGAATATCCTTTTCCAGCCTTTACACCTTAAGCTGGTGTCTGTTCTTGATGGTGAGGCGTGTTTCTTGCATGCAGCAGAAAGATAGATACTGTTATCTAATCCAGTCTGTTAATCTGTATCTTTTAATTGGGGGATTGAGACCATTATATTGAGTTATTAATAAACAATATTAAATCCTCTTATTTTATTGTTATGGTATGGACTTTGCCCTCTCTCTTTTGATTGTTTGTTCCAGGATTATTATTACTTGTGTCATCTTGGATGCAGTCAGCTTTCAGACTGAAGTTTTCCTTCTAGTGCCTTCTATAGAGCTGTGTTGGTAGACGGTGCTTAAATATGCTTTCACCATGGAATATTTTTCTTTGTCAGTTGTAATTGATAGTGTTTCTTGGTATAGTTGTGTGGACTGTGATCTGTAGTCTCTCAGAATTTGTATAACATCTACGTGGCCCTTTAGACGTTCAGGGTCTCCACTAAAAACACCAGATGTTATTATAATGGCCCTTCCTTTGTATGTTACATGTTCTTTTCCCCTTGCATCTTTCAATACCCCTTGTTCTGCACATATAGTGTTTTGAATAATATGTGTGATAGGGAAATTATTTTCTGTTCTTGTCTATTTGGTGTTGTCTACGCTTTTACTTTAATCACTGTCTTTAGATTGGGAAAATTTCTTCTATTATTCTGTTTAAAGTATTGTCTATGCCTTTTACTTGGGTTTCTTCTCCTTTTTCATATCTATTAATTGCAATTTTACTCTCTTTATCATGTCATAGATTTCCTGGATGTTTTATACTTGGATTTTTTTTGTTGTTGTTGTTAAAGGAATTAACATTTCACCAAGTCGTGGTGGTGATTCATGCCTTTAATTCCAGTATTTGGGAAGTGGAGGCAGTCAGAGCTCTGTGAGTTTGAGGCCAGCCTGGTCTACAGAGAGAATTTCAGGACAGGCAGGTCTACACAGAGAAATCATGTCTTGAAAAAATAAAACAAAATGAAACAATTAACATTTTCTTTGACTGAGCTATCCATTTCTTCTACCTTGTTTTCAGTTCTTAAAATTTTCTCTTCCATGTCTTTTAATCTGTTGGTTAGGATTATCGCTGAGCTTTTAGTTCAACATTCTGAGTTTTTCATCTCCAGTTTTATTTCAGTTTGTGTTTCTTCAGTGGTTCTATTTTCTTCTATTTTCATTTCTGGAATTATTTTTTTTATTCAGTTGTTCGTGTTTCCATGGTCTTCATTAAGGCATTTATTTATATCCTATTTAAGGTCTTTGAACATGTGTAATTCCTATTTTGAAGTCCTTGTCTTGTGTTTTAGCTAAATTTCTTTCCTCAGGACATGTTACAATGGGGTTTCTGGCTTCTGGAGGAGACATATTGTTTTGATTGTTCATAGTTTTGGTTTTTTGCTAGATTCAGGCATCTGGAATTATGGCATTTGAAGAGATTTTGGTGTCTTGCCTTTGTTGTGTGGGTGTTCTTTTCTTTGGATGCTTTTACCCAATCTGGGTCCTAGCCCAGTGTGGTGCTATGAGGTCCCTGATTCCCACCCTAGTGTGGTGGTTTTGGGATTCCTGATAGTGGTTCTGCATTTACATGGGGAGTCATAACAGAATACAGTTGATCTACAAGGCATGGCAGCAAAGAACTAAGGCTACTTTGGTCCTGGGTTTTCACCAAGTCCAAAAGGGACAGAAGTAGGCTGGGAGGAGGGGCTGAGGTAGGTAGGAAGTAGCGAGCTTAGGAGTAAGTCTGGAGAGACCTGACTGGAGGATAGGAAAGAGGAAAAGTGTAATAGGAAGGAGAAAAATGTGTGGTCTTTAATCCTTTGAGTTTAATGATTTCCAGACAACTGTTGTGGCTCTGGGTCTCTGGTAGAAACAAATTCTGTGTATCTGCAGGGATCATAAAGGAATTTAGATTGGTGATAAGAAATGGCTGAAAAGGACAGTGGAAAAGAACTAAGTGGGCCTGGATCATGGTTTTGCACAAAAAAACTGAGTCCCAAGTATATTCCTCTAACATTAATTTGACCAATCATTTCTTTTAAAGTGGAGTGTGTTTTTAGTGTTTATTTTTCTGCTTGGGCCTTAGTAACTTCAGTAGAATCTTAGGTAATCTCCTTCATCACCTAACACACATCCCTCTATAGTTTCCATCTATTACTTTACATAAAATAAAACTGAATGATTGAAAAAATATTTTACCCCAGATTATTTTATTAGTGATTCCTGCCACCATATTAACAGACAAACATTCTGGATGTTGACAAAGAAATGCTAATTCCACTATACAAAGATACATCTTCAATAACAGTAATATGGCCCCCATATCTCTTGTTACTTCAATGAAATTAACTCATTGTAAATTCTTCCCAGAGTTATGTTCATAAATATTAGACAAACTACAAAATATACTGTAAATACATAATACACATCATGTTCCAAGCTCAGAAATATGTGATCCTTTACCTACATCATTCTCATTATAGAGCTCATATTAGCACTAAAGACAATTGTGTGTACATTTACTTGCTCTCTCTCTGTGTGTGTGTACAAATTCACAAATGTACACAAAGTATTTTCATGAAATAATTAAGCACTTAAGGCTCTATATATCACGATATCACAATGTCTGAGAGAGAAAGGAACAAAATTATTCCACAAATTCCTCACGGGGGCAAAATTAGCACAAGTAAGTATGTATGAAAGGCATGTGGGCTATATCTATACAAACACATACATACATATCTTTTATAAATACACATATACCAATGGAATAGAATACTCAAATGCAAATGTACTTGCTTTGAACTCTCAATCTATTTTATATACTGGCTATCCTTTGAAGAATCCCTTCTTCATTTGATTCAAACATCTGATGAAATCTTTTTAACAATAAATGGATATTTCTTAAAGGCTTTAATTCTATACCAAATAAATGACATTATAGGATCCCAGTGTTAGGCTTTATCATTATTGTATTAATTTAGCGGTCCCTATTCTGTCTTTCCCTAAAAGTATTTCTAATCCACAATGAACTGTTCCTCAAGAGAAGGGTGATGCAGGCTGTAAATGTTAAAACTATCTGCATCTTGTTCCTCATTACAAATCTGCATGCATGTATTACATGTTATATCTGTCTTATTTTCTTTTCATATTTTATAATATAAACATGCTATCTCCATAATTTAAAAATATTATTTAACTTTTGCGCCTTTCCTGGAACTCACTCGGTAGCCCAGGCTGGCCTTGAACTCACAGAGATCTGCCTGGCTCTGGCTCCCAAGTGCTGGGATTAAAGGTGTGCAAAAGCTACACAGAGAAACCCTGTCTCGAAAAACCAAAAAAAAAATATTATTTAACTTAAACATTATTTTTAAAAGAAGCCCAGATGAGTTATCTTGGTCAGCACTTCAAAGAAAATAGGAAGCACAAGTAAAAGTGTGGCAATTTTTTTTACCAACTGCACTGGAATTTCCCTATGCCAGAGAGTATGAGTTCCAAGTTATATGAGAGAAAAAGAGAAAAATTAAAACTTCTATCAAAATGCTGATCAATAGCAAACTTAGAAAAAAGGCTTAGAGTTCCAGGTATAGAAAATATATTTCTATATCTGTATAAATTATGGATACAATAGCAAGTATATATTATAATGCATTCAACTCAAAGTCCCGAGAGCTGACTTTCAAAGTTCACTTTCAAAATAATCATCTAATAAAACACTCAGAGCTGCACTAAATAAGCATGGCTGTAGTATTCAATTTGTGTGTCCAATCTCTTCATAACCAAAGGCAATGGAATCTTTTCAACATAGGTAAAAATCTCCATACTCTTTTGATTCTTACTCCTTATACAGTGTTGGTAAGTGACCAGCAATGGAAAGCACCAGATGTTTTCTATCTTGGGTTCACTGATATGAAGGAATGTACTACAGGATTTATCATTTCCTTTGTCTGTTATTCTCTTCCATTGTCTACTTCACCCAAACAGAAATGGTGTATCATCTTCATTATTTCAATGGAAGCCTCAATTACAAGAGTTCAGAACTTAAAGAAACCCATAAAGGAAACCTCTCTCTCTTTCTCTCTCTCTCTCTCTCTCTCTCTCTCTCTCTCTCTCTCTCTCTCTCTCTCTCTCTCCATGTCTCTTCCCCCTGTCTGTCTCACTGTCTTTGTCTGTCTATCTCTCTCTCTTACACACACACACACACACACACACACACACACACACACACACACACACACACACATGCACACACACACAGAGAGACATACACACCCTTAAAATTTCATCCAGAGAATCACAATGAAAAGCATGAGGGATCCCAAATATTCACCTTAAAATTTCTCCACTTTTATTAACTAAACATGATTTTGTGAACTCAGAAATTGAGTGCACAGCTCTTTACATTGAGGGCCAAATGTATCCCCATCACTTCCATAAAAGCAACCATAAGCTTATCACCTCTTGCCTAGCTGTCTCACCAGAACTCTTCTTTGCTACCTTCTATTTGCCAAACTCCTCCTGCTTTCACATAGATTAGTAAACAATAAACAATTAACTAGTGGATCTTTTACAATTTTACTATTACAAGTAGTTTCAATTTCCTTTAAAAACACTCTGCTTCCCCAGCCCAAACATATGGGCAAAATGCAAATGAAATTATAAGATTATCTTGTTGAAAACTTTGAAAACCAGACCCCACAGTGTCAACTCAGTGTTCTCCTTGCTCACATCTTCTAGTTCAATCATCTGTTTTGAATACTTACTATAGTTTCTTACTATTGTTTTTCAAAGTCATATGCAGGTAATAAATTATGGGATTAGTTAGCCAAAAAATATCTTTAAAAAAATCAGGTGCCAAAACACTAAAAAATTCCATGTGCATTAGTTTTACAATATGTGTACTTAAATAACTCCAGAAAGCTTTTTTGCTAAAAATTTACCAAAATAGTTAGAACACATAAAAATATTTTTTTGTTAAAAAAAACTGAAAGAAAAACTCAGCATCAACTTATTTGTATAGGCATCAGTAAAAGGATATTATTTTCACCAAAGGTTATATTAAAAAGATTTTTTTTGTATTTTTACTAAAATTCTGATTCTGAACATTATAGTTCACAATAAAGAAACAGGAATACCTAACTCCAATGTACTACATGCTATGGTATGATAAGGAGAAGTTTTTTTTTTTTTTTTGGTTACTTCAATTCTGCCTTTCTGAAGGATAACTAAAAGAATTATATTTGATTTAAATTAACTTAAATTCAATGAAGTACAGAAAACTAATTTCAAGGTTTGAGCAGTCAGTTAAGAGAAAAGAACACATCTTGACAACTCAAGGCCAATCAAAACCTAGCATCTACTGAAAATGATACCACCAGTATTGAAGATAGCCCTTAGTCTCATCAGATATGAACCTAAGAACAGCCCAGCATGTAGAGGAAGATGTTGACCTTCCCAGCCACCCACTCCTTCAGGGGACAATAATATTCATAGTGAAATTGCTCAAACTCTGGTGTCTGACGAATTTCGCATAAGAAGGAGAGATCAATACCTGACTCCAAAAGGAGGAGGAGCAGGGGAAATACAAACAGCAGCAGTCCCAGGCCCACCACAAGGAGCCTGGAGAAACTCTTGACCAGGGGGTTGACCCAGACATGGCCGGTCAGGATGGAATAGCTCCATGACAAAGCTTGACGAGCTTCCTTTAGCTCCTCCTCTTCAGCCATCAAAAAGGCATTTTCATCTGCTTCCAGTTCCTCAAATGAATCTGTATCTTCTCTTTCTAATTCGAGCCTAGATGGACAGTCAAAGAGCATGTTGATTTCATCATCATCCACTGGGGTAGGGAGCAGGCTGGCACTGGGATTATATACTAGTTCAGAGATGGTCAAGGGGTCTTCTTTTACTTTATCTTCCTCTTCACTTAGAGGATCTGCATATCGAGCTCTCTTCACTGGTGAACTGGCAACCAGGGGCTCAGAAACATCTGCTTTAGGCAATGGGACACCTGGAAAAAAACATTATTTTATAAAGTTTAAATATCATATTTTCTTGTTTCACAAAAAATCTATATGTAGAAATAAGGAGAGTTCAAGAAATATGTTAAACTGTTAAGTGGCATGTTGATATTAGACAAAATCATATTAGTAAGTTCACAGCTGAACATGATAAACCTAAAATAAACAACATTAATTGATGTTTTGAAGTACATACAACATTTAAGTATATTATTCAATCTGAAAACCTCAAACTAGAGTCAAGTCTCTAAAACAAATGTAAAAATGATCCAGGAGTACATGGAAATCACAAATGATGTCTTTCAGAGTTCAACCCTATAACAAGATAGAGTATTATGTGAATTTGCCTTACAGGGATAATTGAGTAATAATTTCAAAGCATTGGTTTCTATTCTTTATTCCAGGCAAAGTTTTGGGATTTTTGTTATTATTATATTGAGTGAATATGTAATCCACAAGTCCAAAATATGAAAAGCCCTGATATTCAGAACACTTAAAGCAAATCAAAGTTAAAGATTTCAGTCTGGTTTTTTTTTTTTTTTTGATTTCAGATTCTGAGGTTAGTAATACTCAAGCATTAAAGTGTACTCAAATGTTCCAAAATCAGAAAAAAAAAAAAGCCTATGAAATTTCATTTATTTTTGGTCCAAAGCATTTGGGGTATATAGTCCTCACTGTAATTGCAATTATGTGGTGTGTATAAACTTGTTTTCTCTTTTTTTTAATATTTTAAAACATATGTTTACATTCCAATAGATTATTTTTATTGCTATTATTTATAAACGAGGTCAAATTTCCTAAGTAACTTTAGTTGTCTATTGGTAAAATCATGGAAAAATGAAGAAAGAAAATGTTTTCTAAGTCTTGCCTTTACATATACAGCTTTTTACCTCCATTCATACCATTAATTTTCCATAGATACATGTCCACAAGGCAAACTGGTTAAAGGGCTTGGGATTTTTAAATGCTTATTGGGAAAGATGCATTTCTTAATATTATATTTTACATATATGATATGTAGCTCTAGGCTAATTTTTGAGTAGGGTGAATAATGAGAAATAATCAAAACACCAAAGAAGTGTTCTGTATGATAGAGCTATAATACAACATGAAATTGACAATCAGGTACAGTAATTAGGAAAGTGTAAAACAGAATACAGTTAAAAATTCTCTCTTTTTTTTAATCATTCCAGAAAAAAACAAAAACAAATGAACAAAAAAACAAAAACCAACCATCAAACAATTCCTGGTAGTCCTAGCCTGAGAGCAGAAAACTGTTTGAATGGAAAATACCATATAAGTAATTCATATACAGTTGTGGGTGTCTCTTCTAATCATCATCTACTACAAATAGCAACTTCTCTGATGAGGATTAAATGATGCATTAATCTGTAGGTATAATGATACATCACTAGCTATTGGTTTAGTCCTATGTCCATTTTGCAGAATAATAGTAGGAACTCCCTTATGGCCTATTTAACTATAGCTTCATGCCCTGACAATGGTGCCATGTACGGATTTCATTTGTGGAGCAGGATTTAAATCTAACCAGAAAGTGGTTGGTTACTCACATGATGTTCATGCCACACTTTCATTAATGTGCATATTTTACCAGGCCAGACATTACTGTAGCTTAAAAGAGTCACAGCTGGGTAAGATTGATGATTCCTTTCCTTCTCTTTTAGCAAGCAAAGCACCTTCAGGAAGTATGTTAAGCCTAAGACAGGCCAAAGAGCTAGTGGCAATCTTTAGCTTCTAGGAGAGGAAGAGTCAGTTTTCTCTAAGACTGTAGCACCTGTAGCACTGGTAAGCCCATCACACTCCAGTAGAATGTCACACATCTAAGCACAAATTGGTCTTGATGGATTAGGAAAAAGACACTAAATTGGGTGAATACTGATAGGGGATAGGTGTGAAAAGTATTCTGGCTAGTTTTATGTCAACTTGACACAAACTATAGTCATCTAAGAGTAGTGAACCTCAATTTAGAAAGTGCCTCCAAAAGATGGCTGTAGGTCATTCTGTGGAGCATTTTCTCAGTTAGTGTTGATGGGGGAGGGTCCAGGCCATTGTGTGTGGTGCCACACATGGGCTGGTGGTCCTGTGTTCTATAAGGAAGCAGGGTGAGTAAGACACAAGGAACAAACCAGTAAGCACCACATCTACATGGCTTCTTCATCAGTTCCTGCCTCCAGGTTCTACATCAGTTCCTGCTTCCTGGTTCCTTCCCTGTTTGATTTCCTGTCCTATTTCCTTCAATAATGGAATATGATGTGGGAGTATAAGCCAAACAAACTGTTTCCAGTCCAACTTGCTTTTGGTCATGGTGTTTAATCTCAGCAATAGAAACCCGAACTGGATAGGAAATGTGTATGTGTGGGGGGATGAATACAGTCAGAATGAATTGTACAAAATTGTCAAAGAACTAATAAAAAAAATAAGAAAAAAAGAACCAAAATTAAAAACAATCAATAAAAAATGGTCAATAAGCATCAAAAATATGCTCATTATTATAAACCATGAGGAAAATATAAATCAAAACTATCAGGTTTTTTCTGATCAAAGTATGTTTTTTGTTTTTGTTTTGTTTTTTTTTGTTTGTTTTTTCGAGACAGGGTTTCTCTGTGTAGCTTTGCGCCTTTCCTGGAACTCACTTGGTAGTCCAGGCTGGCCTCGAACTCACAGAGATCCGCCTGGCTCTGCCTCCCGAGTGCTGGGATTAAAGGCGTGCGCCACCACCGCCCGGCCAAAGTATGTTTTTTAAAAGTTACAGCAAAAATTGTTGGTGAAGCTCTGGAGAAATTAGAACTCTGTACATTACTAGCAAGAACATAAAGTTTTTAGTCTGTATGGATAAAACGCTGATTGTTCCTCAAAAAGTCAAATACAGAATTGTATCATTCAGTCATTCCATTCATATTCCAGTCATCTGAAACAGGCACACAAAAAACTAGTAACAAATGTTCATAGCAATATAATTCTAATTGTCAAAAAGTAAAAATGTCAAATATTTTGTCACTAGATGACCAAATGAAGACAGTGTGTTTTATTAAAGGTGTGGTCCTGATAAGCCTACTCTCTAGAGAAGGCCCATACTCATAATTGGCCTCTACTAATTAAAAAAATGGAATACTTAGTTGGGTAGATAGAGATATTGGGGTGGATCTAGGAGCTTGGAAAGGTGTGTGAGTGTGATTAAAACACATTGCATGAAATTCTCAAATAATTAATAAAATATCATTGTTTGAAAAGAAAGTGTTGTCTGACCTTCTAGCTGCCCCATGAGGCCCAGCTACCCAGTAATGCACTTGATGTCTCCTCTTCCTATTCCTCTTCACTTTTGACAGGCCCAAATCCTGCCTAATGCTTATTTGGGACACCATACCATTTTTTTTTCTGGTCCATTTCTGTGAGGGAGTCCTCAAAGCTCTGCCCACAACCCAGACAGGACCCCATGCCTCTTTCTCCAACTCCTTTCTCTCAATGTTCTCCAATATTCTCTGGGCTAATACCAGCTAAGGGTTTTCTAGATGCCTCACAAGACCAAAGATCCTGGCAAGTGAATCTACACTTTCACTTTCAGGTCCTTACTTCCTTAGGACCCCATAAACTACCATTCACTTCCTGAAAAGGGCCCAAGAATCCACCCTAGGAGACATGGAGACCTAGGAAAGTGACTCACAGGTCAGACTCCTGGGCCTTCCCCAGTCATGGTTCCCAAAGTCCCATCTTTTGTCAGTCAATGCCCCCACATCTCTTCATCTTGCACCTTCCCTGGTGTAGACTACCAAACATCTCACTTGTTACCTATTAGAAATGCTTCAGCTACCATATAAGACTTGAAGACCTTGACAAATGACCTCCCAAACCTTCCATGCTCAGCATTACCCCAACTTTCACCAGTCACATATTGGGGACCACACATTCCTTATCCCTGCCCCATTCCCTCTCTGTAATCACCAAAGCCTAACTTGACACCTGCCTAGGACCTCCAGCAATGACAGAATGTTATTAGAAACTCAGACAGCCTACATTGTGGGCCAGAAATCTCATCTCAAAAGATACAACCTACAATATAACTTCAGATGCCCAGGTCCCATTGTAAGAACACAAGAAATATGGGGGGGGGAAGCCCAGAAATAAAAACAAAACAAAACAAAAGCCTCATCAATATATAGCCTCCCAATGAGTCACCAATTCCATAGCAATAGCCACTAAAGAGGACAACTTAAGTGAACATAGTTCAAAAAATGATTAAACATGTTCAGAGAGTTCAAATGGTTCAAAGCAGACATAAATATCTGAATGAACTTGAACAGGATAGGAATAAACTGACTGAATCCCAGGAAAATACAAATAGCTGAGTGGAATAAGTGAAACACTGTATAATTCAAGAATGTAATTAAAGATTCAGAAATAAAGAAAACCCCAAACTGAAATGAAGCTGGAAATGAAAAATTTACTAAGTCAAAACATAGTTCAGTAGAAAGCCTCAACAACATAATAAATATTGAAGTTAGAATATTAGGGATTTGAGATTAATTAGAGAAATTGGATCATATAATGAAATATAATGGCAAATTAAAAAAACAAAATCTTAGAAGACAATGAAGAGAACAAATCTACAAATAATGGGCATAGAACAAGGAGAAGAATTCTAAGGTACAGAAAACAAAATCACAGAAAGAATTCTCCAAATCTAGGGAGAATGATGCCTATCCAGATATGAGGCTTACAGAACACCACAGCAACAGGATCAGAAGAACAATTTCAACATCATTTCATAGTTAAAACAATAAATACACAGAACAGAGAAATAGTATTTAAAGCTGTAAGAGAGGGTTGTTGTATATAAAGGAAGGCCCATCAGAAGAACTGGTTAGTTCTCAATGGAGACTAACATCCAAAAGGCTGTGGAGAATTGTCTTTATTGAGTTGGACTGAGGGCATATTTGTGGGGGGACTGTCTTTTTTTTTTAAATTTTTCTTTATTAAGAAATTTTCTACTCACTCCTCATGCTATCCACAGACCCCCCTCCTCCCTCCTTCCACCCCCCAGCCCTCTTTCCCAAGCCACCCCGCATCCCCACATCCCCCAAATCGAGGTCTCCCATGGGGAGTCAGCAGAGCCCAGCACACTGAGCCTAGGCAGGTCCAAGCCCCTTCTCACTGCACCTAGGCTGTGCAAGGTGTCACACCACAGGCACCAGATTCCCAGAAGCCTGCCCATGCACCAGGGACAGATCTCGATCCCCCTGCCTGGGTGTGGGGGGACTGTCTTAACTAAGTTAACTTATCTGGGAAGATCTAACCCACTGTGGGTGGTGCCATTCCTCAGGCAGGGCATCTTGGACTGTATGAGTGAACAGACATCAAGTTGAGCGAAAGGTAAGCAAGCAGGCAATATGCATACATTCCATTTACTTCACTCAACTGAGGATATGATGTGATTTTCTGCTTCAAGCTCCTGACACTGTGATTTCCCCACAATGATGTACTATGACCTGGCACTGTAAGATGAGATAAACCCTGTCTCCCCTACATTGCCTTTCCAGGATACTTTATCATAACTGAAATGAGATTAGAAAAATCTACAGCTAGAAAATTTTTTAACTGGTTAACAAATGTGTCAAAGACCTATGTATCTTTCACCTATATCTTTTGTTGGTATATTTCTAACATACTGATTGTAGAAGAAAAAATTTCCCTCACAACATGCATGCATGTATTTTCTACTTCATCTGGTAAATTACTGACAAAAAACAATTTTGTAATTAAAATATTATTTTTTTCTTTGCTGATGACACGGGGATTACATTCAAAACCACCATTTGAAATTCTGCATTATTATACTTCATTAGAATAAAAATGGACAGCATTTCTAGAAAGAAAATCAGCAAATCATATGGACTATTTATGGGTGTGGTATATCTTAATCATGAAATCTTGTGTTTTCTGACTTTTATCTAAGAAAGAAACATCACTGCCTTGGTTTCTTCATTATAGACTCATCTAGCCAATTTCTATCTCCTGTTCTCATACATGCCAGAAGGGAGGTCTGCTTTCTCATCATCTCTCTTCCCCTAAATGGCTCTCTGTGCCAGGAAACTCTGTGAGGATGTGAATAAAACTGAGAGGTACCTGGACATTTTATGGATGGGCTAGCTGAACTGACTCTATGACCTTTCTCTGTGACTTCGTGTAGCAAAGCCTGGTGAGGAACATAAATGGTACTCCACTCTTGCTATACAGGCACAATTCCTTCTTACTCTTCAGCTCTATGTATAATAAACTCCTTTAGGAACCTAACCTCCCACTGGACTGTTAGTTTTATTTATTTTTTTAACTTATAAGCCAAATATCTAGAGACACTATCCTGAGATGGCTTTGGTAGTCATTAATTTTCTCGGACCCAAACCTTCCCTTCCTCGTCACTCTCAAGGGCACCCAATTTTCCCTACATCATTGGTGTGGCAGAGGAGGAAGAGAAGGAGGGTGAATACAGGAGCCAATGCTCTGTTTGTTCTCTGCTTTAAATTCACTATTACCCCCAACACACACACACACACACACACACACACACACACACACACACACACACACACACACACACACACACACAGAGCTTTCCTGACCTCCAAACTCAGATCCACACTTACATATAGTTCTTCTGTTTATCTTTGCACCTTCCTTTAATTTAACCCTCATTCTTCTTTTTTCCCTTTCCACCTTTTGTGAGTCTAGGATGAAGAGTGTGCTGGAACACCCTCCCTGCACCATGGACATTGAATTTGTGCCTAAGTAGAGAAGCATGAAATTGCCAGATGCCAAACGGGGCTAGCTAGCACTTTGAGATGGCTGGACTCTGTGAATCCATGGCAGCCTAGCACTGAATCTGGAGCCACTGCACAGATCCACCTGGAACCAAACAATAAATTGCTGTGTGTTGGACAAACCACCACCAGAAAAGAGGAGGCTGCTGTAGCTGTACAGAAACCATCGTACCATTGTGAACAGCTGGAATGCACTAGGTGCTAGTGCCTGGCACTCTAGTTTCGTAGTGTCCTAGTTTCTGCTCTTTGTCCAACATCTGTCGGGTGGTTTTATTATGTGGCTGTTATTCCCACTCTCAGAACTGCTCCACAGGTTTTATTTACTCTTCTTCTGCCACAAGGTGCCCTGCTCCTGCTTTCACTTTCCAGTTGCTGTTCAGGGACAGGGTCGGGGAAAAGAGCATCTGGACACCATATCTTTTTGAGTTCCTTCACACACCTTTCCCTCTATGTTCTGTATTTTCTAGATTATGAGCACTTAAATTTAAGTTACATGTGGTAAATTAAGGTGTGACTCTTTTAAATCAAGGGACTCTCCTTAAGTGAGAAATTCATCCTTAGCACTATAATGTTTGTCTCTTATTTAGACTGAGGAACATAAAATGGATTAGCCGATTAAAATATTGAAGAAAAGGAGGGCCAGAGGAAATGTCTGAAGAGAATATTAGAGGTGCAACAGAGAAGATCCCCACACCTTATATAATCAATAGACATTGGCTTCTTTCCTAGCCATTCAAGCTTCAGTGTTTACTCAAGACATTTAAAAATTTATGGTGGGTCCGGTGTGATAATCAGTTAGAGTGATGTTGTTGAGAATGGTTAGATGTTGGTTAGAGTGATATTGTTGAGTCTGATGGGCTCCTTTTTCTCACGATGGCACATGAAAGAAGAGAGGATACAGGAATCAAGGTCTTATCAGTGACAGCAGCTAGCCTGCCAGGCCTTTCCTCATGGTTGCTTAAGAGGCAAGGAGAGAAAAACAATGGAAACTCGCCAGACGATGCTCCAGAAAAGAAGGTAGCAACACAGATAAGAACTGTGTCCAATATATCTTCTTTTGCTTTACAGATAGGTGGCTGTTTATCTTTAACAAAGGTTCCTACAGGCTGAATCCTTATGTACTGTTAACTCTTCAATCAACATATCTTACAAAAGATATGTCTGCTATTGTTTTGTATTTGAGCCTGGCCTGAATATAAATCAGATAATAGAGAAAAATGGCCTTCAGATGAAAGTATTACTTTTAATATCATTTTATAATTATATATGTTTTGCAAGGAACAAAAAGGAAAGTAGTTTGAGGTTCCTTATTTATTCTTCGCTCAACTCAGAAATACACAGGAAGTTATATATTGATTGACCCAGCACTCCAGCATGCCCTCATACCAAAGCATTTTTTTTTTCGAGACAAGGTTTCTCTGTGTAATTTTGGTGCCTGTCCTGGATCTCACTCTGTAGAGCAGACTGGCCTCAAACTCACAGAGATCCGCCTGGCTTTGCCTCCCAAGTGCTGGGATTAAAGGCGTGTGCCACCACTACCTGGCTAGGTTCAGTCACTCTTATGGCAAGAAAAAGTGTCTCAGCCTTAGGATCCCAGTGTTTTCTCAACTATATCCTTTCTGCCTGCCATTGCAGGAGACAGGTATTGATCAGACATGGAGACTAAATAAAGATTATACTATCTTTTCCTTCTAAGATCTGAGACAGAGAAAAGGTAATCTTTGAAAAATTTCTGAAGCCCCTGAGAAATATATTTAGGTCTTCCAGGGACTCACTCACTCCTCTGACATGGGCTAGAAGAATGTAGTTACTCCGAAATCAGTCACTGATACTTACTGAAAAGACTTCTGTAGATATGTAGGCCACATACGTGGGATGAATGAAAAGAGAAACTCTATAACTGGTGAGGTACAAATCACAAGTGGACAATAACTTCTCAACTGGGAGACGAGCAGTCCCACAAGATAAACCTCATTGGGACCTTAATGGCCCCGTTGTGGACTGGAGACAGAGGCTTATGTCTCTTAGAGAGGCTCCAGAGGATTCACTCCAAGACTTTAAGTTTTTCCAAGTCATCTCTGGTTACTGTTAGGCTCTCAAAGAGTCACCCTCAGCCCTTGTAGAAGGACTGAGAGAGACCCTGCCTCTATGGAGAGGTACTTGATCCTGATACTGCCTTATAATTCAATACACTCCAAACAAGTAGAAAGTGAAAAGGATCCCTTTGGAATTTGAACAAACTTTAGACTACTTCCTTGAAACGGCTACTAAGAACTTTTATAATCAGGAGCAAAATTTAAAAAGCAGTGAATAAAACAGGAAAATGATAGCCCTTGTGACTGCAATAATGGGCTAAGTGCACAGAAAAAGGAAAAATGGTTGATGCCAGTTTTCATTGTGGATTTCCATAGGGGTATTTCCTTATCAAGGGGATTACAGAGCTAACTTCCCCACCTCAAACCAGGTTTGCTGTGGGATGTTCTGTATGCTCCGAATGTGTTGCTCTGATTAGTTAATAAATAAAGTGCTGATTGGTCAGTAGCCAGGCAGGAAGTATAGGCAGGACAAAAAGAGAGGAGAATGCTGGGAAGTGGAAGGCTGAGTCGGGAGACACTGCCAGCTGCTGCCATGACGAGCAACATGTAAAGTACGTGTAATCCACAAGCCATGTGGCAAGGTATAGAGTAATAGAAATGGGTTAATTTAGGATATAAGAACTAGATAGCAAGAAGCCTGCCACAGTCATATAGTTTATGAGTAATATAAGTCTTTGTGTGTTTACTTGGCTGCCAGACTGGCAGTTGAGAGAGATTTGTCCTGACCGTGGGCCAGGCAGGACCAGGAAAACTTCAGCTACACAGGTTGTTATATGGGATGTCTTCCAATGTCTTATGAACTCAATGTGGAATTAAAAGGGACACAGTAGGACCAATAAGAGGTATCTTAAGCCTTCACCTCTAGTAGTCCTAGCTCCACAGATCTACAGATAGAAGCAATCACAGATATTAGGATAGATATTTTCAAACATGGGATATATATATATATATATATATATATATATATATATATATATATATATATATATATATATATGAATGATGTCAACAAAATTTTATTTAAGCCAGATGTCCCTCTAATGATTGCAACAATGAAATCGTACTTGTTCCAAATATCCTAGTAATATTTAGTATTTAGCCTGGGTTTCTCTTATATCAAAGTATTATTGTTCTTCACTCATGAGAAAGGTTTGCTACTGTGTGCTTCCTAAGGTCAAGAATATGTTAAGTAGCCCCCAAGGACATCCAACGGTTCTGTGGCACTAACTTTTGGCTCAGACTACCCCCAGAATAAATCCACAGACATATTTGAGGATTTTCTTGGATGTAGGGGTGACAAATAAAAACTCTCGATTACCTTGCTAAACTTATGCTATGACATTGCCGTATCCAAAATCTTGTCCAGTGATATGATCATCTACCTTCCATTTCTATTCCATTTATAAGTCTAGAGGATACCATTTGACTTATCAAAAATCTCACTAAATATACTCAAAAGGGCTTAAAACCATAAGACTTTAGATATCTACACAGCAACTTAAGCCAACACTTGTGCCATCATCAAGACTGAATTCCTAATAATTCTGTTAATGCTTCATTTGATCTATAAAATCCACAAATACAGATTCAGAACATGCTAGACATCATCATGCAATTAGATAAAAAACTCTGGAGATGAATTTCTGGCTCTTCATGGTGAGAAGGGGTTATGTTGGATTAGTGTTAATAGTAATTCTAGTAATCTCTGGATCTTTTTTTTTTTTAAAGGTTTATTTATTTATTTATTATGTATACAGCATGTATGACTGCAGGCCAGAAGAGGGCACCAGATCTCGTTACAGATGGTTGTGAGCCACCATGTGGTTGCTGGGAATTGAACTCAGGACCTCTGGAAGAGCAGTCAGTGCTCTTAACCTCTGAGCCATCTCTCCAGCCCCTGGATCTTATATACTACAGAGCTGTTTTAATTTTATCTTCTAGCATTTAGAGTCAATCCACATGCAGATAGATGGTCCTATTATAATCTAACTCCATCTAACTCAGTCTCGTTGATCATTCTTCAAGGCTTAAACAGGAGCCCCAAATCCCTCTGTGCCCAAATGATTTGATACTCATTTATCCACCTTCTCTTGCTTTCACTCTTTCTCCCTCAGACCTCTATGAAGGCACCAAAGAGTTCCCTTTTGTGCCACACCTGGTTATGGCACCAATGGAATCACTGATGCAGCTTCAAGGCCCTCAGATACACTCAGTGGAGTGGTATCCCAACTGCCACATCTAATACTCAATTTAACTCCAAGAATCAAGACTGGTCATTCTTTAAATTATTAGCAATAATTACTGTTGCCTGTTTGGGGGAAATTTATAAGAACAGGATGTAGAAACTGGTCAGGGAGTTTTAGGGTAGGGGACCCCAAAAATGAATTTTTTCCTTGGCTAAAGCTGGAAATCACCTTGGCCCTGTTGGGAATTTTGTCCTGACCAGAGGCTAGAAATTCCAGAAAGGTCTTTCTTCTTAACTCTCTTTCCTTGAATGAGCATTCATCCCTGGAAACTATATGTAAGGGTGAGAGTCTAGGACCTAGACAGATCCCTGACAGATAGGGAAAGGGACCACAGATACTGAGGATGGCAAATGTCCAGCATCTTCCTCAACACCCTAACATGAGACAAAGGCCTAGAGAGCTTTTTCTTCTGATAGCAAGACCCCTCCTCTTCCAGAAGACAGGCCCAGGCTGATCACATATGTTTAAGGTAGGTCCTGAACATACTTACCTGAAGCTGTGGGCTCATCAGCTCCCCAGTCTCTAAGTGACAACTCAAAATTAGGGAAGGGGGACCTGCTCTTTACCATTATAAACACATATTTTGCTGACACTGTGGGCACCAGTTTTCCTTTCTTTGTTTATTCAAATAGACCCCAAAATAGAGGAATTGGGAACCATTTCAGGCTGCCAAAACCACTTAAAACTCCGGGCCCTCCATGGAAAATAGGAATTTTGGTCCACTCTCTTCTTTGCAGTGCATCTCCTCCCCGCCCCGTGTGTGTGTGTGTGTGTGTGTGTGTGTGTGTGTGTGTGTGTGTGTGTGTGTATGTGTGTGTGCAGTGTGCACGCTTTTTTGATTATCATAAAAGTTGTTACCTGTTTCTGCTTGCTGTGTCTGAGATTTTCCTTTCCTTTTAATTCTTTAACTGACAGAGAAAATAAACCTGAATAAGACCTCCTAGATCTAAGATGATAATGAGGATATAATCAAACATGAAAGACACTTGTGTACCCCCAATGAGTCAACTAAACTGACCAGTTCATTTGCCTCCTTGCCGTCATTCAATAAACCAGTGGTTCTCAATCTTCTTCATGCTACAACTCTTTAATACAGTGCCTTATGTTGTGGTAACCCCCAACCATAAAATTGTTTTGTCGTTACTTCATAAGCAGAATTTTACTACTGTTATAAATGGTGATGTAAATGTCTGGTATGCAGGATATCTGATGTGACCCCAAAAGGGGTTGTGACCCACAGGTTGAGAACTGTTGCAGTAAACCCTTATTAGCTCCGAGTTGGCGTTCTATGGTATCTTCCTAGGCTCCGCCTTTTTTCTTTTAAGATCCAATTTAGTAGTCTATACTAAATTAACTTCCTTCTGAATTCATCCTCTCATTGTCCCTCATTTTCACTGGGCAGCTTTGGTGACCATTGATTTTCCAGGACCCTAGTCCTCCTAGCTTATTTGAGGCTAGTCAACTTTTGTCTCTCTCAAGTATACTCCACTTTTGCTGAATCATCTTTTCCCCACTTCCCCATCATCTGCACATCCTTCCTTAGGAATGCAAGACTCTCCACCCTTTCACTGTCTCCCAGAAATCATGGAAAGTCTGACTATAAGCACATACTATGGACTATTTATCAATCACATGGCATAGAAAAGTCCCCTTCTGAGATCCATTATAAGGAATACACATTTGTTTAGCCCATGCTATAAGGACCTTAACTTGCTCAACCATAACATCATTTAAAAGTGAGGTAACCCAGACTCAGAAAGACAAACATGGTATGTACTCACTCATAGCAGGATACTAGACATGAAACAAGGATGACTTGTCTGCTACTCACATCACCAGGGAGGCTACCTGGAAAACAGGACCCCAAGAAAGACACAG